GCTTTTATATATGATTTTTTGTAAGTTTGAGTTTTGTTCATAAATGATGTGGCATTTTTATCTACGGCGTCATCGACTGTGGGAATCCATTCGCCGGAGTCTGAAATCGGTGGTGAGGAATGTTTTTAAGGAAATTATAGTAGTTATTAAAATGTAAGAGAAATTATATATTCATTTAATAAATAACGAAAATAATTAATTTTTGTTGTTTTATTTTATTTTATCTCACATACAAATTTTTTAAAAATATATATTAGGAAATATGTGCAATGATTTAACTTTTTGAGCTCCTAATCTATATTATTCAACCCTCATTAAGCCATCCACGTATGCACCCGCGTGGAATTCACTTTTTTTTTTTTTTTCTTTGGTCTGTTCGTTTTTAGATTTATTTTTTATTATTTTTGGGTTGAGCTATATTATAATATGATAGTTTTAAGGTTCTTTAAGCCATCCGCGTAGGCAACCACGTGAGACTTGTTTTTTTTTTTTTTTATTGTTCGTTTTGGATTCATTTTTAACTATTTTGGGTTTGAACTTGTTAAGGTTTAGGGTTTATACAACTATTTTGATATTTAAAACAATAAGCCAAACAAAAAAACATAAGAACCTTATAAACAAAAAGCCCATATGATAATAACCTAAATAAAAAAATCAAAAATACATGATAGCTGCGTGGTTTGAACCCACAATCTTGCATACTTAATTAAACACCTTATACCAATTGACTAAAATGTATTTCATTGTTTGTGACCATCTTACCAAGACTATGTCTGTTTAAAAAATATCTATGCATGAGAGCAGTGAGAATTGAACCCATGCCCTTGCAGACCAAACATGGGGCTTAGACCACTTGACTAAACTCATATTCTTTGTTTGTAGTCATTTTAAAAAATTTATCTATTTTAATATAGAAAAGTAGGACCCACAATCTACCTATGTGGACACCTTAAGGAGCCTTTAAAGTGTATCATTATAATATAGATGTCAAAGTTACTGATAAAAGAACAAACAGAACACCAGTTGTAATGTTTCTGCAAAACAATGCTGCAAACATTTTGGTTTCACTGCCGACAACTGAAACAACATTCATGATCAAATATTGATCTATTCTCAATAGATAAAAGAACAGATAAAAACGTGATTGATTTCCAGCACTCCGGGACGCAGTAACAACATGGATTATCAAACATTAAAGGCAGTAACAATTGTTTATCTAATAAGTCACTGATGAAAATCTAATCAGAAAGGAATTGGCTGTCGACTAGGCCAAGACTCGATCTTCAGGAAGTAGTCAACAGGCACTACACCATCAATACCTTCAGTCAGAATCACCTTGTTGTCTGAAATGTAGAAAGCAATCCCATCTACAGAAATAGGTCAAAGTGAAACTACAGTGTTAGAAGGACAGCAATATTGTTAAATACAAAAGAATTTGAGTTTTAGTTCTAACCTTCAAGAGCTTTCTTGATGTCCAGGAAGATCAATACATTAACATCTCTTCTCATGCCTTGTATCAAACTGGAATCAGATAAGTGCGCACATGCAATTATTCAGGAACGACAATAAGATCAAAGTAGCTTACCACTTATCACTTCACCATCTGTTGGCAAGCCACAAGAAAAGTGAACATGGAGTCTATTCATACGCTTTAAGCCAGATGCTAAGATGGATTCCAAATTCTTCCTATAAGTTCCATGCACACACACTGCCATTTCAACCAATCAAAATGAAACACAATTCGATACAGAACACAAGTGAGTAGTAAAGATCCTAGTATTGCCTTCACCTGGAGCTTCTTCCGGTGACATTATTGGTTTAAGTAACTTTTCAGATTCAACCGTCTGCAAATAAAGACATAAGCAGAAGCTATATAAGTAGAGATCAAAACTAGAAGAAACAAAATCAACAGTTCTCTATGTAGCAAGACAAATCATTATTGTACATAGACGATGGAAAGGCCACAATTTCATGATCAAAGAGAGAAAGACTCCAAATTACCGTGATGGAGTGGCCTTGGTTAGCACGTATCAAGAGCTCTCCATCCTCTTCAACGAGGCTAAAACGTTGCTTATTGTCCCTTCTCACTGCCTGCAAAGTTAACATCACCAGAAAAGAAATCTTAATGGTAAGAATTGAAGATTTAGTGGGGGTGGAAACTGACCTCTCTAATCTCATCAACGTTGTGAGACTTCAACTGAACATTTGCAGATGTTCTTAGATTCAGGTTAAGCAAGTCTGCAACTTTAACAAAACCATCACCTCTCATGTTCAATCTCAGCTCAGTAGCCATGTGTCTCAACACTCTCGTCCTAATCAAAATCCAATAAAGAGAATTCAATTTTTAACCTAAAAAAAATCCATACTTTATCACTCCAAATCACTTACAAGAGTCTTCCAAGTGCATCAATTTTATCCTTTCCTCCTCCTCCTCTTCCTCCTCCTCTACCACTGCTACATCCATCAGAAACTCATAATCGAATCAAGACCAAACCTTGAGACATTTAGTGCCCAAACAAAAAAGAAAAACCTTCTGCTGGATTGAGAGAAGGCAGGTTTGAGGAGATTCGAAGCATCCATGGAAGCAGAAAGAGGTGAAACTCTGGGGAAGATGCTCAATTTTGGAAGAGGACGACTAAAACGCAGAACCCGACCAATCGTATACATTGAGACCACAGACCGAGAGACATCGGTAATAAAACTAATAATTAGTCACCGATTAATTCATAACCGGACTATCCGGTTCATAACAATCCGGTTTATTATATTTTTCAACGCCACATCTCTTATATGTTAAAGCCCAAGTGACATAGCGAATAATATTCTGCCACGTAAGATTTTTTTTTTAAAACAAGTAAACCTAGATAATGCTTAAGAAAGAAAACATAAACCGTATCAACATTAGTTCCCTCAGAAACTCATATATCCCAGTGATACTATCTTACTATGTACAGTTTTGTCGGCTTCGGCGGAGAACCATATTGCTTCATCAGAACCGGCGTAGTGTAAAGAAGGTTCGAGAAAGAGTGGATCTAAATATATGATTTGCTGGAGATTCATCATAAAAAGATAGCTTCATGGTAAGACTCAGGCCCACCAGAAAAAGAGGAGCAAGAAGATGAAAAGCAGACGCAGACGTGATAAAATCACATGAAACCTCTTTAGAGAAAGGTAAACGTTTCTATTAATTTATAATCTAAAAATCAGATTAAGCGTATTCCTACTGTATATAGTAGACACATGTTGAAAACATTTTTTTGAGAAAAGGCTTCATGTACGAAAGAAACATGAAGGGTTAAAGATGACAAATGGTGCTACCAAGGGAATAATGATTAAATACTGAAACAAAATTAACAGAGATCTGTATTTATTAGCTATATGATAAAACTATAAAGATCAAGATAAAAATAAAATTAAAATTATGATACTATATAAGATTTGTATAATATAATAAAAGTATAAAGATCAAAATGATAAGATTATTTTAAAAACTAGATGTTCAAAAATGTATTAGATAAAAATTATAAGGATTAAACTAAGAACTTTAATTATTTAAAAATACAGATAACTGGAAGGAGTATAAAAAACTTCAAATATGGATTTTGAATAGTGCAACTTCAAATATGAAGTTAAACTATTCAAAATTTGAAGAAAGAAAGTTGTTTTTAGCGTATTAAAGCCTTCTTTTTGGAGAATAAAATTCTTAACATTTGCAATTTTGAAGTTGATTTTAGAGATGTTTTAAGTGGGTTAATATTTTAGATGTATATTCATCTCTCTTTCCTATAAGCCAAAGTTTTTTTTTTTTTGGTAATCATGTTAAAATTTCATACCATTTTTAAGAGTTTACATGTTGCTTAGCAACTTATTCAAGCGACAGCTTACAAACACACAACAACCCCAACAAAAAACAAGAAAAAAAGGAAAAAGATAGAAGATAAAGAGGGAGTCACGGAGGCCTTGTGCAGGCGAAGAAAACCTGCAGGAAAGAAGGCTGAAGACTCATCGATGGCTTGATGGATAAGAGCCGGTCCTTGATTTGACGATCCACCGCTGCATGAACAGTTAATGCAGGAGTTACCTTGTCTGTAAAAATCCTCATGTTCCTTTCTTTCCATATATGATAAATGGAACATTGGAAGATGAGCTTTATGGTGAAGAAGATCTTGACTGATTAATCCAAGCCGCTGCCGAGTGAATATCCTGGGGTGGGTTCGGCCAGACTTTTGCTGCATAGTAGCTCTAAATAGCCACAGAGAAAGGACACTCAAAGAATAGGTGATGGTGAGTCTCTACTTCTGCTGCACAAAGAACGCATTCCTCTGGTACTGTCATACCCCATCTCCTTAGCCTGTCTCTTGTAGGCAAACGTCTAAGCAACGCAAGCCAAGAGATGAAGGAGTTCCTAGGTACGTAATGACTTTGTACCAAGGCTGAATCGGTATAAATTTTTTGGAAAGAAAACCAAAAATAAATCTTTGCGAAATTAGCCTTTTAAATTCAAAGTGGACAATCTACGAATAGTTTTAATATATCTCAACAGATGAAAGAATTTAATTTAATTTATTACAAATTTTTATAATATTATTTGAGAAGTCACTTTCTTATGTGGCAGGACGGTTATTACATAGATATCCTTGATAAAGAAAAATATATTATATATTTCCATTAATAACAATTTTTATTTACTCTTAATAAAATTTAAATAACTTTTTACGTAAATTTTTTTTTTTCCAAAGCTCATAAATAAGAAAAAGGAATATTTATAAAATATAAACTTATAGTTTTTATTGATAAACGAGTTTGAATTTTATTACCTTTTATTTTTCCCCAAAAATATAAATAAAAGTAAAATATCTAGAAATTTTTAAAATATATTTAAAATGTATATTAAAAGAACTTCACAAAAATTGAAAAATAAACTAATTTATTATTTCTTTTTATATAAGATAATATTATTTTATTATGAATGTTTATCAAATGATTAATAATAAATATTTTTTAAACAAAAATTAACTTGCCATCTAATTTCACATATTTCAATTTTTTATTTGATTTTTTTTATAATCCAGATAATCCGGACACTCTGATGGGAATCCGACTAGCGCCTAAGTACACCTCCACCAAAACCATCATGGAGGGCCGTCTTTTTCATCCCATTTTAATCGACAGTGGCCAGCGAAATTCGCATCGAGTTCGTATTGGGCTGGCGTTTTATAATCTTGATAATCTAAACAATTTTTCCATGGTATGTATCATTTTCGGTCTCTTAATTTAACTAGCAAGCGTTTTTTTAATAGAATATGTGGCTTCATATTCTGTTATGTATTACTTTATTTTTATAGTTTGTTATAAGGAATAATATAATTTTTGATTTTAGTTTACATGATTTTCATCTTTATCAGAATATGAATATGTAGCTATAGATGTATTTTGATTAGACCCTTAACTTTGTTAATTAGTATACAATATTAATATAAAAGTAAATAAACATACAAATTTCTTTAAATTGTTTATGAAATTATATTTTAGAATGTCTTGAAATTAATTTTATATTGTTGATTATTTGTGTACAAAACTAAACTTAATAATTAATATTTATTAAAATTTACAAATACATTTATATTATATTTAAGTAATATCAAATTTAGTATTTTCTGAATTTACCATAAACACTAGATAATATCACAACTCATATATGATATTTGTCTTTTTAATTTGTTTTTTTCATAATTATGAAATATATGTGTTAAAATGGTTAATATATGGGCAATTCTTCCATATAGCACTTTGTAGTAAAATTTAATGGTATTCTTACATTATTAATCTATCAAAAAAAGATTCATTGATTTTTATTAAAAAAATAATTTATCGACATTGTTATAAATTTCAGTTATGTAGAAAACTTATTATAATAATATTGAAAGAGACTTTATTCCACGATATTGCGAGAAGCATCTAGTAATATTTATTTGGCATTGGGCATAAAAATGTCTTGGAACGGCTCTGTTGATTAACATGGAAAGTGGCAGTAACAAATGCGCCTTGGGACTGTATAATCACAAGTAGCACGTGTTGCTTTCTCGGTTTCCACGCAAATCTTCTGGCAATCACCATCCTTCATACAAAATTTTTTCCCTGACAAAGGCTGCCTCTTGCATGACTTCTGCCCTTCCACAATTGTCGGTGCTTCTTTATATATATATTATATATATGCATAAATATGTTAGGGTTGATTATCAATTAATCTGAAATTTAATAAATAATATAATTTGCCATGTATATAATAAAGTCAATACTTACCAAAAGCAGAAAAGATAATAAGAACAATGAAGAGGAAGGTGATGATGGGAGCAAACTTAGCCATGCTATATTTTACTTTTTTTACTTCTTCACTTTTTTTTTTTTAATTTGAAGGTATGTTATGTGTATTGTGTGAGGAACTGAGTCTAAGATGAATTTCTATTTATAATGACACAATGGCTAGTTTAGTCTTTTACTTTTCATCCTACAATAAAGTTTAACCACAAGAACTGAAACACACATCTATGATTTAGGTAATTAGAGATAATTCTTAAACTTAAAGTAGGCAAAATAGAAGAGAAAATGCTAACCAAGAGATAAAATATTGTTTGTGATTGGACACTACTTCCTAAAAACAATCATCTACCTGCAGCTTCTGAAACTCAAATGGTATTTTCATCCTTAAAATAGATAGTTTTATCGCTAATGAAAAATCTCAATTTAAATTTCACATCGAAAATTAAACAAAAGAAAGTCTAATATATAAAAAGAAGTCTAATTTTAATTAGTATAAATTTTTTTGGAAAGAAAAAAAAAGTAAATCTATACGGAATTTACCTTTTAAACTCAAAGTGGACAATCTACCGACATTTTTAATATATCTCAATATATAAAAGAATTTAGTTTAATTTATTACAAATTTTATAATATTATTTGAGAAGTCATTTTCTTATGTGTCAGAACGGTTGTTACATAGCTATCTTTGATAAAGAAAAATATATTATATCTTTCCATTAATAATAGTTATTTTTATTTCTTTTTCTTACTCTTAATAAAATTTTAATAACTTTTTAACTAAATTTCTTTTTCCCAAAGCTCATAAATAAGAAGAAGGAATATTTTATAAAATATAAACTTATAGTTTTTATTGATAAACGAGTTTAAAATTTATTACCTTTTATTTTTTCCCCGAAAACATAAACAAAAATAAAATATCTAGAAATTTTTAAAATGTATTTAAAAATGTATATTAAAAGAACTTTACAAAAAATGAAAAAAATATAATAATTTAGTCATTCTTTTTATATAAGACAATATTATTTTATTATGAATGTTTTATCAAATGATTAATAATAAAATTTTTAAAATAAAAAAATTAACTCATCATCTAATTTCACATGTTTCAAAAAAAAATTTTGATTTTTTTTATAATCCAGGTAATTCAAACACTCCGGAGGGAACCCGACTAGCGCCTAAGTACACCTCCGCATAAGCCATCCTTGGGGGCCGCTTTTTTCATCCCATTTTAATCGACGATGGCCAGAAGAATTTGCATTGATGATTAAAGCTCTCTCAAGACCACTGAACCGTCATCATTTAGTTTGTTTCAAAAAATATTAATTACATAGACGATTATCAGTAATTATAGTAATGGTATTTAGGTATAATTTTCCATTCACTAATATAATCATCAAAAAATATTAATTACATAGATGATATCGAATGGAAAATTATACCTAAATACTACTCTCTATGTTCCTAAAAGATTTATATTCTATTTTTTTCACACTTTTTAATAAAATGC